AAAACAGTCCATGTAGTGATGCCTAAAGATAATTTGCTATAGTTATAGATTGGTGCCGAGCCTATTAATCGTTAGAGAGACTTCATCCAGCAACTAGTAGAAGAAGATGCAAAAACTCACAGCCAAATATTAGAACTAACTCCAGAAATCCTATTGAAGAGAAGGAAGAAAGTTTGTATGAACCAGAGAGGTCAAGGATCTCACAAGAAAGGCCACAGAATAAAATAACCATGGCTCATAGGCACTCATGGATACTGAACTGACAACCAGATAGTCTTCACGGGATTGACCTAGGCCCGATGGATATATAATAGTTGTGTAGCTTGGTCTTCTTGTGGGACTCCTAACAATGAAAGTAAGGGCTGTCTCTAACTCCTTTACTGACTTTTATGAACATATTCCTCACACTGTGTTGCCTTCCCAGCCTTAATACAAGGTGAAATGCTTAGTCTTACCACAACTTGACATAATATGTTTTGTTGATAGCCACGTGAAGCCTTTTTTTTCTGAATAGGAACTGGGGAGTGGATAGGGTGGGAGTAAGGGCCGGGGGCAGAGGATAGAAACGGAGGGTTCAAATTGCACACTTGCATCAAATAAACATTTATTTTATATGTGTCTGTATTGAGAAAAATGCATCAAAATATTCAGTATTATTTTAGGTTATTGTCATGCCCAAAGAAACCCTATTTCTTTAAAAGATACTGTTAACCTCAAAATGACAGTCTTGGATCAGTTCAAGGCAAACTACATAAAAGGATTGCTAGCAGAGTGATGAAAGCCTACAGTCAGCATTCCTTAGGAAACTGGAAACAGGTTTCTGCTGGCCAAAAAGGGACACTTCTTTGGCATATGCCTCTAGTTAAATATCAAAAACCAAAGGCTCCCCCAGACTCCTCCAGTTCCCAATAGCATGCACACGTTATGAATATTAAAGTCTACATGCTAGCCTCCTGGCCATTTTCACTTCCTCCTTTATTTTCCAACTATGTTAGTTCCCATGCTGTTACAACTAACCCACCATCCTCCCACCTCAACACAAATTAACATTATAACTGGCAGGACTCTCACACCATTTTTGCCATTTTTTTCTACTCACAAGAGAAACACACATCTTTAGAAACACATACTTGCAATTGCAAAATGCTTATCTAGAACCAAGAAAATAATTTATGACCAAACAGATAAAATGCTATTACATAATTTAATCAGGAAAAATCAAGAAAGGCATTTAGATGCCTTGACTATCAAGAAACCACTGTTTTATGTTGCTGATATATTTCTATTCCTAAAACACTCTCCCAACAATAAAACAACAGTTATAGGTATTTTGTGGATATGACTAGAGACACTTGTACCTGGATCACTATAGGTGTGGATTTGGATAGAGGTTCAAAAACAAGCTAAGTACGTGAGAGTTTCTATCTTACTCTAAAAATGAATAGAAATCTTATCACAAAAGAAACAAAGAAGACATTGACACACTGTCATAACACTGGAACAAAATCCCTAGGATCATAACATAATATGTTGAGTTTTTAATATATCTTATTCACCATTCTTAATTTTTTTGACTATGCTCCTGCTGTAATATGGGCAACACAAACAGGACTTGGTATATATGTTTTTCTTTTTTTTTGGTAATGTCACAAGAGTAGGTGGTGGACTTGGGAGATCTGGGAATTAAGTGTGATTGAGGCAAATTCCCAAATAATCTATTAAAATATTATGTTTGAATTTTTTTCTAAATTTACTTGAGATTATAATATAGTTACATCATTTGTCCCTCCCATTTCTCTGATCCAAACTGCCCCATATACCCTTACTTCTCTCTTACAAATTCATAGTCTCATTTTTCAGTCTTTGTTGTTTCAGGCATGTATGATGAGTATGTATATTCATATTCCTAACTATAGCCTGTTCAGTCTGTGTAATGTTACTCATATGTGTGGTTTCAGGGCTGAGCATTTAGAATTGAATAACAAATTGTTGTGCTCTTCCCTGGAGAAGAATGCTTTCCTTTTCTTAGCATCCCTTGGTTGCCTGTAGTTCTTTGTATAGGATTGGGGACTCTCAGGCCTTCCCCTGTCAACATTAGCATATCTATTGGTCTTGCCATATTCAGTTCATATTTAGGCAGTCATGTTAGTGAAACTTTATGAAAGTGTCTTCTGACATTGCTAGAAGACACAATTTGATGTTCACCTCCCTGATTCTCAGGCTCTTACAATCTTTCTACCCACTCTTTAACAATGTTCTCTGAGACTCGGTTGTAGAAATAATTTTAGATGTATCCAATGAAATCATGTTTCACAACTCTCCAGTTTGATTGGTTTTGATCTTCTTTAATGTTCTCTACCTGTTTTAAAGACATAATTCCTTGCTAAGGAGTGGCAGCTACACATATCTGCAGGCACAAGGACAAATGTTTGGATTATATTTAGAAATTTTGTTAAGTTTAATGAAGAGGTGATTTTAGATTCTCTCCAAAGATCCATATATTCACTAACACTAAGTAATTGAATAAGTTTTTCAGCACGGAGCATGGATTCCTGATTCTTGAGTGGGTCTTAAGTCCAGTTAAATACTGTTGGTTACTACTAAGGTATGCATGCCACTAATGTATCCTTAGGATTATCAAGCCAAGCTTGTCATTGGTGTGATTCATTAGACATCTTAACTAGGTAGGATTGGTGGTTGTTTCCCCTTCTTTGGAAGCTTGCACAGCTCCTGTGGCAACATGAAAGCTTGTTCACAGAGAGGAGGTATTCGTGTCACTTCTATCTCAGGAAGTGGGCTTTGTATATGAGGTGTATGGTGTCTTCAACAATAAGTACTTAGTTTCAACCCTTGGTGGGCAACCAAAGAAAATAGCAATAGCCTCTATGTGTTAGGAACTCTCGTGAAGAACAGGGCTTGTCATACTAATATTGGGATTCCATTAGGTGGTCTTTGGTGCTTCCAGAGGACACTATCAGGCAAAATGAGAAAACTTTATTTTACACACACACACACACACACACACACACACACACACACGTAGCACAGAATTTTTCTTTAGATAAATATTTAATACTATGATTCCTTACAACTTTTTCAGACATCCTTACTGTTCTTTTACCTTTCTTTTTTCACCTCCTCCCTGTTACTTAGAAGCTCCACTTTTTTCATTTTTCTGAATGTGTAATATATATGCTGCTATTCTGGTGTCTTTGCAACCCCCTATCATGACAATGGCCTTTTTCATATCCATGGTTTCTGAAGTTACTCAAGGATCTGTATCTGTATTCATGACTGAAGATTTGTTCCTATGAGCCTCATTTAAGATATAACATGTGACATATGTCTTTCTGAATCTGGATAATTTGATTCAGTATGATAATCCATTGTTCAATCATATTATCTACAAAGTTCATGATTTCATTTTTCCTTACAGCTGACTAGTATTTCAAAGTGTATACATCCCACAATTTCATTGTCCATTCATCAGTTGAAGGACAGTAATGTTATTCCTATATCCTACTATTGTAAAGAAAGCAGAATTAGTGCCAGATTTCTCCTTAAACTCTAATGGCTCTTTCTATAATAATATCTTTCATCCTTCTCTCCTCTATTCTTCCCCCTACTCAACTATCCTCCTCCCCCATGTCCTCCTCTCCCCTCTCTTTCTCTCAGCTTCCTACCTCTCCCCCATGCTCCCAATCCCCTCAGAAGATTCTGTCCTGTTTACAACAGCTGCCAATCTAACCAATACTGGAGAGGCTACCTTAAATGCCCTTCCCTGATAATGTGATTGATGACTTCCTTGTGTGCCATCCTAGATCCTTCATCCAGTGGCTGAAAGAGGCAGAAGCAGACACCCACACCTAAACACCGAACTGAACTCCTGGAACCCAGCTTCAGAGAGGGAGGAGTGATGAGCAAAGGGGCTATTACTTGGCGGGTGAAACCCACAGAAACAGCTGACCTGAACAAGTGGGAGCTCATAGACCCGATATTGATACTGAGAGAACAGCATGAGGCTGATCCAGCCCCCCTGAATGTGGGTGTCAGTGAGGAGGCCTCAGCATCCTTTGGGGCCTCAGGCAATATATCAGCATTTATCCCTGTCATCCAGATGGATTTTGGGACCCCATTCCACGTGGAGGGATGCTGTCTCCACCTGAATACATGTGTGAAGGCCTAGGCCCTGCTTAGAAATTTAATGTGAATATCAGATAAATTTCTTTTCTATTAAAAATAATGGCACCAATGTTCTTTTATTAATTTTTGTTATATTTTGTTTTTATTTCTGTGATTGTAATTTAATTACATTACTATCTTCCTTTTCCTCTTTCCAGACTCTCCCATATGCTCCCATCTTTCCTTCAAGGATGGTCTCTTTTAATCATTAACTGTCATCAAATACACACACACACACACACACACACACACACACACACACATATATATATATGTATATATGCATATACATCTATATTCCTAAAAGGAACCTGTTCAGTTCACATAATGTTACTTGTATATATGTTTTCAGGGCTGTCTCTTTGACCTTAGAAACCAATTGAGGTGCACTTTCATTGGAGCACCATCCCTCCAACATTTATCTTTACTTGACTGCCTATAGATGTTTATGTAAGATTGAGGACTCACGGAGTTTTCCCCATCAAGATTGGCATATTTATTAGCATCATTCTTGTTGACATTTGTTTTTCAAACTTAAAGTAGAAATCATACTTTCTTGTGATAAATTTTGTTCCAAAGTGAATGCAATTAAAATATTTTCAAACACAGAGTGGTTTTATATCTTTACTTATATGATTACAGTTATTTTTATTACATTCCATAATTTTCAATGAGGCATTCTAAAATTTGAAAATTGTTATTTTTTTAACGTGATAGACAACAATCTAGGTATGAACCCAGTAGGGAATGAGAGAGCCATAAAACCACTTATTAAAGTCTACTGTCTGTTTATTACTTAATATTTGTAACAAAAGTGCTCAATGTGGGGAATGTATTCTTGTTCTACCTGAAGTTAATTTTTTACACCAGAGTTTTTGCATAGCATTTTTCATCTCTGAATTTCTCAGGGTGTATATTAATGGATTCAACATGGGAGTAATAACTGTAAATACCACACTTATTGATTTATCAATGGGAAAGTTAGATACTGGTCTAACATAAATGAAAATGCAGGGAACAAAAAACAGTACAACCACAGTGATGTGGGAGCCACAGGTGGACAGGGCTTTTCTTCTCCCTTCCTGACTGTAGCTTTTAAGAGAGTTTAGAATGAATGCATAGGAGATTAGGAGAAGAATAAAAATGATCATGCAGATTGCTCCACCATTGGCAACCACAGTAAGACCAATAAAGAAAGTATCACCGCATGCTAGTGTCAGTAGTGGGTACATGTCACAGATAAAGTGGTCAATGACATTGGGTCCACAGAAAGGGAGATTAGACACAAAAATAACTTGAACCACAGAGTGAACAAACCCACCAACCCAGGCTATCACTAACAGAAGGATGCAGATCTTCCGATTCATGATGTTCAAATAGTGAAGGGGCTTACAGATGGCCACATAACGATCATAGGCCATCACCACAAGGAGGAAGACCTCAGCACCCCCAAATAAGTGTTCCGTAAAGAGTTGACCCATACAAGCTTTATATGAGATAGACTTTTTGTCAGACAGCAAGTCCATAATCAACTTGGGTGATGTGGAAGTAGAATAAACAGCGTCCATGACTGACAGATAAGCTAGAAAGAAGTACATTGGGGAGTCTAAGGAGGGGCTGACCACCACTGTCCCCACAATGAGTAGGTTTCCCACCATCGTTACAATGTAGATGAGCAAAAACATGACAAACAATGCTTTTTGTCCAGTTGGATCTTGAGTGAGGCCCAAGAGGATAAATTCTGTTACATTGTTTCTCTGTCCCATTTATATATATATGGATCCTGTCTCAATGGGAAGCTCAGGAGAAGAGGACCTGCAATGATACTATAAAAATTGCATGAATTTATTCTGTCCTTAAGCACATTTTCAGTGAAAATGAAACTGATAATAGAAAATGAAGAGATAAATAGTAAGTAGAGGAATGTGGTTTTAACATATAGGAAATAGTATTTTACATGTAAGTTTTCCTTATTTGTAACATTTACATTAGGAGAATATAGAAAATAAAACTTATATTTATAGACTCCAAAAACCAGGATTACCAAGGGAAAAATTTAAGTTCATTGTGAAAGTCATGGGCTAGAGTCATTATCAATGACTAAATATTAATATGTTTCCATGTGCACAATTAGAAATAAAATGTTGAAGTACATGACATCTGAATCCTTTCTTTCAAAAGAGTCTACTCTGCTGATAGTCGTACCCTGAGTTTTTCTCTCATTGACTTTGTTTTCTTTCCATTAGTCATCGTCAAACAAATATTCCCAATTTAGTTGATATTACTTGGAAAGTGTTACCTAGTAATCACAGGGATATGATGACTGCAGTAAACAAACACTAACTCTGAGTTTCCCCATCATTGTATACAAAGATCCAAAGAAAACAGAGAATAGCAGTGAATAACGGGTACTCTGGAACTACAGTGTGCCTGCTGTATACCTAGGTTCACTCACCAGCAGTGTGGACATCAGCAAATACATTAACTTCTATGTGCATCTGTTTCATGATTTTCCCAGGGGAGATATGACACCACCAACTTCTGTCAAAGCAAACATAAATTACCCTGAGCACTGATGAACTCTAACAAAATCTAAATTAATAAAGTGTATCCATGAAACTTGAACTAAAATAAATAATACAATCTCTATTAATTTATTATTACTAAATATAAACCAGGATATAAAAATATTATGCCTAGTCTCCCACAGAGACACACATGAATGCACACACACACACACACACACACATACACACACACACACACACACACACAAGAATTGAATCCTAGAGTGACAAGACAAGAAAGACTGCATGTATTATTTTCTGAATCCTCATGCAAGGTTTAATAAATCATAAATAATTCATCACTATGACTGCAAACAAAATAAGAAAATCAATTCCTAGTGTAAGATAAACAAAACAGGGGCAGAGAGAATCTGTTATTTCACAAGATGGTAATCATGTTGAAACTTCTACATGTCTCATTCACATTGTTGCCTCATCTCATTCAGCAGACCCATCCTTGAATAAACAGACTGAGTATGGCACACGTTTTGCAGGACATAAGAAGTACAATTATGATCTCTAGTCCTTCTTGAGCTATTCTTTATTTTGCATGTGTTTGCTTCTTCTCAGACTTCAATTCTCATTTTGGAAAGATGGACATTCCTGATTATTATTTAATTGTCTAATTATTTACTTGACATAGTAAAAGCTAGCATTTGAACTATAGTTTATTGTGTCAACTCTCAAATATTTTTGCCACAAGAAATAAAAAAAAATTAACGCATGTTCTTAAGAATATGTTTTTCTCAAAGAGCAAACAGGGGTATTGAGAAGGTTAAGGGGGAGAAAAACAGAAGACAGAAATGTTGCAATTATATTATATTATTGTAAAATAAGAATGATTTTATCAAAATAAATTATACAATCATAAAATACCACACTAATATTTTCTTTTTTGGGGTGTGTGTGTTTGAGACGGGGTTTCTCTGTGGCACTGGAGACTGTCCTTGTAGACCAGGCTGGTCTGGAACTCACAGAGATCTGCCTGCCTCTACTTTCTGAGTGCTGGGATTAAAAGGGTGCACCACCACCGCCCATCCACACTAGAATTTTATGATAAGAATTTTACACATCTGTATAATTGGTAGCAGTTAGATAACATTTTGAACCTGAGTTTGTTTCTGAGTCCATACTAACTTTCTTGCTCATGTCATTTATAAAACTGCACATAACCTTCAGGGTCAGGTTACACATTGGACTTTTACATTGTAGCATGGTTGTGAAGGTGACTGAGTTTTCCAGTTTTCATATCTAAAACAAATTATATGTAAATATACTGTGCAAAATACAATATCTCATGAAGAAAAAATATTGGGTACTAAACTGTTTGATTTGACACACACACACACACATACATACATACATACATACATAAATACATACTTATTTGCTATTGAAAATACAGAAAATAAATACAAGTCAAATATAATATAATAATAAATACCAGTCAAATATAATACTAAAACAGTCTCTGACATTTTCAGAATAATACCTGTGTTTTGGTAGATTTATAATTCAATTCAGTTGTCCCATGGTACAATATATGGTCTTTAGATGTTAATTTATTGCAAGATATCACAGTGATCTGCATCTAGCATTAATTCTTAATTGTTTTGAAACTTTACATTTTGAGTCTTGTTCTGGTTCACATAAGCTATGATTCTTTCACTCAGGTTGTTATATGACACCTGTAGCCATGGTATGATAATAAAATATATAAATAATTTATGTCTAGTTCTAGAAGTAATAACAGTGGATGACTGGTTCAATATTTTTGCACCTGCTTCTCATTAAGCCATTCTTCCAGAGAGTTAGAAAAGTGCAGGGTGAATGCTTATAATGTAAAATCATTTAAAATGAACATATGCTATATAGTTAAAGATAAAAATTCTTACCTGATAGGAAAAATAGCTTCGTGGAGAAATAGTCTGTTAGTGGAAATCAACCTTACCTGGACCGGGCCACTCTTTGGTAGCTCAAATATAAAAACACAAAATTTAGCAAGATTAAAATAACACATAATTTTCCCTTAATCATTTCCTATGAAATAACCAAAAATGACTCTGCTATGAGGACTCACAGCTGACATGTTCACACTTCACTGCATAATTTTAGGCCCTCTGTTGACACAGCCAGGTTTCAATTTAATGTCTTAGATAAGAAGATGAAGGAAAAGTATCCACAAGTATAATCAGAATTCTAATTTCTTCTCTAGTATCATCCTCCTAGGAAATACTTGTTCTTCCTTCCCAATTAAAAACTTACTTGTACATGTCTTACACAAACTTCTGGGAGAAGTCATAGATGTAACAAGAGACCATGATAGACTGAGGACTGGCGTCCAATTATGGCACCCACTAGCTTGCATTAAATGGAGTACTCACAATGCCCTTGGGCCATTCTACCTGGAGAACAATTCCTACATTTATATATGCAGATACAGCCTATGAATTTTACATCATCACTTATTTAAAGTTAAGAGACTAGCAGGTCATAATACAGCTATTTGTTAAAACATTTCAAACAAATTCAAATTCAGCCATCTATTACAGAGAGGTTTCTTCACTAGACAAGGCCCTATAGGATAGATACTCTGCCAAGAGACAGGATGAGATTTCTTAGTAATGTAAGGAACCTATAATATGAGAAGAAAAATTCCAATGTGGAATGATTGATAAAACATGAGATGCAAATCATCAAATATTTAGGAAGGCAATAATAGTTAGAAGATTCAGAAGGAGAGAGCATGCCTGTTCTTCTCTAGCACCCTAGCACAGCATAGCATTCCTTTGTAACAGTCAAAACTTATAGTGCAGGTAGAGAGACACTTTATTTTTGATATCTTAAATGCCCATATAAACAAGCTTCATTTCAAATACTCTGATTTTAAGTACTGAACAAATGAAATAAAACCCACAATCCCAAAGTTTTTTACATATGTGTGTATATATATACATATATATGTATATATATTCCAACAAATATTGCCAGTCAATTGAGTAAATGGTTAAACCTACCTGAAACACATTTAATTCTGCAAAATTTTACAAAGTATGCAGTCACCATGATCATTGCATCATTGCAGAATGATGAGGCAAAATATTTGTTAGAAGAAATGTAGTAGGAAGAAATAAAAAAGAATCATTCCACAAAGTCCGACCCTTAAATGAAGATCTCCAAGTGGTCAATGGCAGCTGAGTGAGAGAAATTCACTTTCCTCCCATGTAAATGGTCCAATTTTAAATGTTCACCTGCAGACACATGCAACAAAATAAATAATGCTAAATGGACTTATTTATATATGTACATATGTGCAATAATAACAGTTAAAAGGAGGGGGTAGTAGAAAGGATTAATGAAAGGCAAAGTGAATTCCTTTCAGTGGGCCCTGCCAAGGTATGCCACTAAGCAAACACACCCCAGGCAGCAGAGTTCCTGCAAAAATTTTATTGGGAAAGAGGGAATAGAAATGCTGTTTCAAAGTGAAAACATGAGAGCCAGGATGGCAGACAGACAGACATCAAGAACAAGCAAGAAGAGAGGGGATTGTGAAAGCCTAGCACTTTTAAAGGGTGCAGGTGTTGCATGACTGAGGGTATAAAGGCACCTGGCTGCAGGTCAAGCTGTAAATGTTTTGCTGGAACAGAAGGAGCTAACAGTAACTTTAACGAGTTTGGGAGTGGGTCGGTGAAAGGCTTCTGTTAAGTCTCTCCGCCAACACAGCCAATCAAACAATGCTGAATTAATAATTAAACGTTAAGGTTTATTGAGTAAAACGCTCCTGGATGGTCTCCTGGGCGCTCAGAGAGGAGACAAGGAAAAGGAACCGGAAAACCACATGGTCTTTTCTTTAAAAGTCTTTACACAGGCTTTCTGAGACTGGGCAGGGTTAGGAGTGAGGGAGTCCCCTGAGGCAGAGCTCCACCCAAACATCCCAGACTCCTTGGGTATATGGACACTGGGTTCACGTCTGGTGGCTTCCTGTGGGCATAGTATGACATGGGAAAGGGAATCATGGAGTCGGTCAGATTCTCAGTGGGATCATGCTGAAGAAGCATTCTGTTAGTTGCCATCCGGAGACCTCAGGCATCTGTTCCTTGAAGGAGCTGGGAAAGCAAATTACTAGGAGAAAAAAATCGATGCCAGCATGAGCGCTATGAGTGGTGCTTGTAGTTCTCTGTTGTGGGCTTTGGGCGATG